ATTACGTTCATGCGCACGCCGTTTTCGTGGAATCTCAAAAAGGCACAAAATCACTTTCACTGACTTTTAAATGAAATGTTCCCTCCTGGTGGAATGACCTGCCCAACTCAGTCTGAGCAGTTGAGTCCTTAGCCATCTTCAAGAATCGGCTAAGAATACATCTCTTCCATCTTTTTTTTACCCTCTAACTCTAGCACTCTCTATTCTAATTATATATATATATATATATATACATATACATATATAAAAAACTAACACTAGCTTTTCTAATCTTTTTGTATTCTACCTATTTGTTTTCTTTTGATATATTATACAATTATCAAAAGCAAAAAAAAGACCTCTAACACTAGCTTGCTCTATTCTTTTTCTATTCTGTTCTTCTTTTTATTTATTATATAGTAATAATAAAAAGAAAAACCTTGCTACGTGTACTGCATTAAGCTAACTGAGATTTGTTATAGCACTTGCATATCATTGCTCTTTTGTTGATTTGTTTGATTGCTTCCATTGTCCTCATTTGTGAGTCGCTTTGGATAAAACAAAGTGTCTGCTGAATGACTAAATAGAAATGTAAATTGCCAAAATAAGTTTAAAATGCTTTTGGTATAGTTCACCAAAAATGAAAATTTTGCCATTTACTCAGCCTTGAGTAGTTCCAAACCTGTATGAATTCCTTTCTTCTGCTGGACATAAAAGAAGATATTTTGAAGAATGTTGGTAACCAATATTTCAATGTTTCAATACCATTAAAGTCAATGGCTACTGGCAACTGGTAACCAACATTCTTCAAAATATCTTCTTTTGTGGTCAACAGAAGAACTAAATTTATACAGGACTGGAACTACTCAAGGGTGAGTAAATGATGCCATAATTTTTATTTTTCTGCGAACTACCCCTCTAAGTAGCTCTAATGTTGTGAGCGCCAACTGAATAGAGTTTGCTGTTTATTCTCCTGAAAAATGAATTTGTGTGTTTTGTAGCCCTATTGAGAGATCCCAGTCAGAGCATCATATCATTTATAAACTGCTGAAGGGAGTCCAAAGTCTGACCTCACAGCTGGGCTCGCAAGAGCTGAAACAGATTAGTACCATCACCACCGTCGAGACCTGGGAACGCGGACAGATCAGTGAGATATTTATACACACACTCACACTCTTAAAAGAATAGAGCACATACACTCTTAAAGGAATAGTTCACCCAAAAATGAAAATTTGCTGAAAATGTACTCATCCTCAGGCCATTCAAGATGCAGATGAGTTTGTTTCTTCATCAGAACAGATTTGGAGAAATTTAGCATTACGTCACTTGCTCACCAATGGATCCTCTGCAGTGAATGTGTGCCTCTATCCATAATATGCAAAAGCAATTAAATGTAAAAAGCCTTTATGATGGATTTGTGTTTTTACAAACTCACTGCTTTTCACTTTACAAGACATTAACTGATGGACTGGAGTGGTGTGGATTATTGTGATGTTTTTATCAGCTGCTTGGAATCTCATTCTGACGGCACCCATTCACTGCAGAGGATCCATTGGTGAGCAAGTGATGGAATGCAAACTTTCTCCAAATCTGTTCCGCTGAAGCAACTCATCTACATCTTGGATGGCCTGAGGTGAGTAGTTTTAGCATATTTTAATTTTTGGGTGAAATATTTCTTCAAAGTTCACCTTAAAATGAAAATTCACTTAAAGATTATGTTGTTCAAAACTCATATGACTGCATTTTTTCTGTACTGTAAAATCACACAGAGTCATTTTTAAAAGAATATTATGGCCTTTATTTTCAATATAATGAAAAAGTGGTTCATATGACTCATGCACTATATTTAGAGTCTTCAGAAGTCATACAATAGCTTTGTGTGAGAAACCAAACAACATTTAAATAATTATTTCTTATGAGGTATTGTAAAATGTTACCCATAAGTCTTGGTATATAACATAAGAGCAGAAAATCACATGTCAGAGGTTTGTAATGTTATGTGTCAGGGAATGTCTTATTTCAAGATAATTTCATCTATAATTTTTCATCCACCATTTGTGTTTTTGCACAATGGCAGATGGAAATCATCCATAAAAACACTCCATAAATGAATTGTGCTTCTTTAGAAGCTTCCTATTTCTAGCTCAGCAGGTTTATCAGCTTCAGAACAGTTTATCCATGAATGAGAACATCAGCAATCTTACTCATGCAATATTGTTTATATATAGGCTTCATGAACAGTATTACCTTATTGTCTTTTTCTGATTCAGAGCCTTGCAAAACATCTGGCTCACTCCCCAAAGAAGAAGATTCTCTCATCCAAAACTGTTAGTTCATATATTATGTATCAGTGGCCTCATGCAACACGATCTATCGACACAAATCAAACAGATCTTTCATTGGCATCATCTTTCAGTCTTGCCTGTGAATATTGTCAAGTGTTTGGATGTGTTTCTAAAAGGTTGAGAGCCCAACCCAGCATGTGTGATTTTCTATCGACGTGTTCAGTCGTCTGCTAATCTGTGCTCAATAACAGCCACGTATTCTTTCAGGACCACTAAGCAAAAACATAAAGGAAAGACAATTTGATGAAAGCATGAATCCGTGCCTCTATACCGATGGTTACTGTTTTGCAAACGTCTGGTGTTTTGGAGATGGAGGTTTCTTTATTGATTCGTCTAGAGGGACAGTAATGGCTGTGGTATGTTGTATGCCACAGATGGAGGGGGGAAGGGCTTTGTTATGGACGCAAGTTTTAGCTGCAGATGATTACAGAGCATAAACACTGTGATTTGCTGTTGATAGCCGTCTGCGCCAGGCTGAAAAGTTTTCGTGTTTGGAGCGAGAGATTTTGTGGAGTGTTTTTCCTAGCGTATAGATGGCTTGCTTTCAGAGAGCAGTTTTCATCTCATTCAGATCTTTGCGTCAAGGAGATTTATTTGTGTTTCTTTGTGTGTGTATGAAAAAAAAAAGTATATATATATACAGTATATATATATATATATATATATATATGCTTGTTTGGGGGTGCTGAGTGAATGCTTGTGTCTTCTGTCGTTATTAACTTTCCACTGTTTTTCCTCCTTAAAATCGACATTTTTACAGATTGTCTTGATTGCACTTTTGAATACTATTTGGGCTGTCAAGTTCCAAAAAGTTATCATAAAATTGGTCCATGTCCATTAAAATGTCTCTTATATTTTCAATTGTAATTTTAATTTTAGTTGAAGTTTCAATAATTTAGTTATGTGCGTTTTGTAATTTTTAAAGTTTTTTTTTTTCAATATTTCTATTGATTTTGTACTTCAGCTTAAACTAAAATTTTCAGTAAGTTGCCAGTGCAACCGTTCTAATTTTTATTTCTTTATTTTTGTATTTTTTTTAAGTACCGTAGTTTTGGTAACACTTTACAATAAGTTTAATTAGTTAACTATTTTAGTTCACACGAACTAAGCATGAACAACACTTATACAGCATTTATTAATCTTAGTTCATGTTAATTTTGACATTTACTAATGCATTATTAAAATCTAAAGTTGTGCTTGTTAACATTAGTTAATGCACTGTGAATTAACATGAACAATGATTGAACAACTGTATTTTCATTAACTAACATTAACAAAGATAAATAAATACTGTAATAAATGTATTGTTCATTGTTTGTTCATGTTAGTTAAGACATTAACTAACATTGTAAAGTGTTACCGTAGTTTTAATAGTTTTAGGTAACAACAATAACTGTATTCCAGGTCACTGGAAACTGTACATTGAAATTATATAAGAAAAAGATTGAAATTTAAGTCATTTGGAGTGACATGATGATAAGTAAACGATGGCAGAATTAACATTTTTCGGTGAACTTTCCCTTTACGTTTGAAATTCACTGCTCCACAGAGAACCGTTCATTTAAATGCAGTTGTTTGGATTTATTTTACAGTTGATTGCAAGAAATATCTCATCTTTTGGTCTTTTAGAACCCATCAGCATGCATCCCTTCATACAAATGCTCTTATTTATGATGAGACGGGCTCCAGTGACTCTGTGACTAGTGTTGCTACTTTTTGAATTCTTGTAATGTGTGAAATCTTATACTGCATGTGTGTTATTTCTCTACATAACAGAAACAGTGATACGATTTTAATAGTCAGTCTCTTGCCCACCTGCATAATGGGGTCATGCGTTTTGACCCGAAACAGCTGAACTGTAACTGTTGAGCGGAGGCTTTTCTAATCGTGTGTGTCTTCTGCCATATTTATCTTTCCTTCTCTTTCTCTGATTACAGTTTTCGGGCATAATGGATTTTACCTTGTTCTGAAAGGCTCAGTGAAACCGTTCAACCATGAAACCCTTAAAGAGGATCAGACAATCTCTACGGTATAAATTACGCTACTTGTTAATCAGTTATTGACCCTTTGCTTTGCCTAACGTTAAAAACATTACCATTCATACCTTGGCAATTGTTGCTGACTAGCATATTCTCTGACAAGCTTTTGCTCTTTTCTAATCTACAGTTAAGACCCGTTCATGATAACTATATTAGCATCCACATCAATGGATGGTAACTTTATTTAAAGCAATTTAAAGATGTCTTTGAATTCTGGCCTCTTGAACACAACATTTGAAAAGCTTTGCATACAGTGAACTGGATTTGGTGTCTTTGTTGATCTAGATTGCTGCTGGAGGTTCATTTGGATCCAGTGAATCTGTAAATGCTGTAGATGGAGGTGCCATCATCCAGGGTGTCGGGACACTCGAAACCTGCGAGATTCTCAAAATATCTCGCTCTCGCTACGAGAAGCTAAAAAAGGTAACACAAAAGAGAAATGTACTTTGGAGACTAGAGACCATACCTTGGCAATTGTTGCTGACTAGCATATTCTCTGACAAGCTTTTGCTCTTTTCTAATCTACAGTTAAGACCCGTTCATGATAACTATATTAGCATCCACATCAATGGATGGTAACTTTATTTAAAGCAATTTAAAGATGTCTTTGAATTCTGGCCTCTTGAACACAACATTTGAAAAGCTTTGCATACAGTGCACTGGATTTGGTGTCTTTGTTGATCTAGATTGCTGCTGGAGGTTCATTTGGATCCAGTGAATCTGTAAATGCTGTAGATGGAGGTGCCATCATCCAGGGTGTCGGGACACTCGAAACCTGCGAGATTCTCAAAATATCTCGCTCTCGCTACGAGAAGCTAAAAAAGGTAACACAAAAGAGAAATGTACTTTGCAGACTAGAGACACCAATATTTTATATTCTGGCCTGTAATTGTTGTCATGATATAGCTGATAAATTACCAGAATTAAAATTATATAATATTTTGTCCAAATAAATGAAAAGTAAAACACTGTAAGTGTTGTCATGATATAACTGATAAATGACCAGAATTAAAATTCTATAATATTTTGTCCAAATAAATGAAAAATAAAACACTGTAAGTGTTGTCATGATATAACTGATAAATGACCAGAATTAAAATTCTATAATATTTTGTCCAAATAAATGAAAAATAAAACACTGTAAGTGTTGTCATGATATAACTGATAAATGACCAGAATTAAAATTCTATAATATTTTGTCCAAATAAATGAAAAATAAAACACTAAAATCAGGCATCACAACATTATAATATACCATATGAAAAATAAATACTCATTTTGAAATTAGCTAAAGATTATATTTGACAGTGTTATTAAAGTATTTGTTTAATTTTATTATATCACATTACTGTAATAATATAATCTTAATATTAATAATTTATTAATAAATTATTCATATTAAAATTGACTGAGCATTAGATGACAGTCTATGTTAATAATATTTAATATATTCATTAACAATATAATTTATTAAGATTTAATATTGTAATAAACGAATTGTAATATTTATCATTTATTATCAATATACTATTAGGATTACCTCTGAGTATTAGATGATGGTGAAGATAAGCTAAATGATTACAATGTAATATTTATATTTATTAATCTTTTATTAACAACTCAATTATTTAATCATAATATTCATAAATTATTGCTATTATTAATAATAAATTATTAATATTAGGATTAAGTCTGAGCATTAGATGATGACAAAGGTCATCCAAATGTTAAAGTAGCAGAACCAAGTATATACAATTAAATTCTGAATTACTGATTATTATCCAAAACTAATCAAAAAAAAAAAAAAAAAAAAAAAAAAAAAAAAAAACTGGCATACAGATATATTGTGCATCCTTTACTTGGTGTCCTAAAATTATTCCATCAATGAGACAGTGTCCTCTATTGTTATTTGTAGGACATCCTGGCAGAGGACCATGAAGTTAAAGTGTCTTTGATCCAGGGCTGCCAGCTGTACCTTCACTGGCCAAAGCTTTCCATCAACCACCTGGTCGACAGCATGCAGCTAAGAACATTCCCTGCTAATCAAGGTAAGTGGGTGTCTTGATTGAATATGTGTTGTCACAATGAATCACGGCGGCATCTTACGCACTTTAGTTTAGTTTTGTTCCATTGACTGATGCTTAGCACCTGGATGGCATTATGGTTTTCTTCACTTAGTGCAAAACTCAACACGTTTGCCCCTAAATAAATGTGTTTATGGGTGGAGAGCGCTTGAATATGATTAGAGAAAAATACAAGCTGCTCCATTACCCGCACAGCTGACTTTAATTACCAGGACGGCTGCTTTTACACCTCATTTGGGAAATATTGAAGCCTAGATATTCATTTAGGTGCATATGTTTATGTGTGTGTCATTGCAGGAGTGTCCAACGACTATTGCTCAAATTGCGTTTGCAGCTCTGATTTCACTAATGTTGAGCTTTTGTGCACAGGAAAGGACAGGTCTCTTTTTTCCTTTTTTTTCTTATAATGGGCATGAAAGGAAATGCGTTGAACACAAAGTCTGGTGTGACTACCCTTTTAGTCTGTTCAATCTCACTTCCTGTCCTGGAGCTGACAGGCGGGCATATGGTATGCTGTGGTTGTGCTGAGATATTGGGCAGAGATCAGCTATCATGGCTGAAATCTTTATTTAGTTGCCGGAATCTCTCCTCTTCCGTGGCTGCATCCCATTATCTCCATCCTCCCTCCAATTATATGTCTTCATTTGTATCTTCCTCTTTAATGAAAGGCTTCAGCTTTTAAGTATAAAGTAAATCTGTTTTCTTTAAAGACACTTTTAAGTGAGATCATTCCATGCTAGACCAGATCTTTGAACATGTGCAAACAATTAAACACAAAAATGGTTCATAGATGAGTTCACAGAAGTGTATTAAAAATTTTGAAAATGCCAATCTAAAAACACACATTTGAAAATGTCCTTATATTATATTTTATATCTCTTATATATTTTAAATTAACATATATCTATAATAGTGTAGCGTTCTCAGACAAGGATGAGGCATTTTGATGTACAAGGGGTGTTTATTTGGGCTGTTGTCGCCACAACCCGACTTCTAAGAGAACCGCACTTGAACCAGCGAGGCACTCTTTCTCCCCCTCCTTCTCTCTCTTTTCCCTTACACACACACAGGGGCGGAGCCTCTTTTCACATCCAACTCGAACATCCAATAACAGTTCGCAACACAAAAATGAATGCAGTGCAACATTAACATTAAGCACATTGTTATCTATAACACAACATGCTTGAACATGCTACAATATAATATTTATTCATTGTATGTTTATCTATATAACATATTTGATATTGGTGTGTATATGTATATATGTATATATATATATGTGTGTGTGTGTGTGTGTGTGTGTGTGTGTGTTTTTTTATTTTTATTTATATATATTTTTAATAATTAGCCATACAACATTATTGTGTTAAATTGACACCCCTTAAATATATATATGACCCTGGACCAAAAAACAGTCATAAGAATAAATTTTTTAAAATTGAGATTTATACATTATCTGAGCTCAAATTGCGTTTGCAGCTCTGATTTCACTAATGTTGAGCTTTTGTGCACAGGAAAGGACAGGTCTCTTTTTTCCTTTTTTTTCTTATAATGGGCATGAAAGGAAATGCGTTGAACACAAAGTCTGGTGTGACTACCCTTTTAGTCTGTTCAATCTCACTTCCTGTCCTGGAGCTGACAGGCGGGCATATGGTATGCTGTGGTTGTGCTGAGATATTGGGCAGAGATCAGCTATCATGGCTGAAATCTTTATTTAGTTGCCGGAATCTCTCCTCTTCCGTGGCTGCATCCCATTATCTCCATCCTCCCTCCAATTATATGTCTTCATTTGTATCTTCCTCTTTAATGAAAGGCTTCAGCTTTTAAGTATAAAGTAAATCTGTTTTCTTTAAAGACACTTTTAAGTGAGATCATTCCATGCTAGACCAGATCTTTGAACATGTGCAAACAATTAAACACAAAAATGGTTCATAGATGAGTTCACAGAAGTGTATTAAAAATTTTGAAAATGCCAATCTAAAAACACACATTTGAAAATGTCCTTATATTATATTTTATATCTCTTATATATTTTAAATTAACATATATCTATAATAGTGTAGCGTTCTCAGACAAGGATGAGGCATTTTGATGTACAAGGGGTGTTTATTTGGGCTGTTGTCGCCACAACCCGACTTCTAAGAGAACCGCACTTGAACCAGCGAGGCACTCTTTCTCCCCCTCCTTCTCTCTCTTTTCCCTTACACACACACAGGGGCGGAGCCTCTTTTCACATCCAACTCGAACATCCAATAACAGTTCGCAACACAAAAATGAATGCAGTGCAACATTAACATTAAGCACATTGTTATCTATAACACAACATGCTTGAACATGCTACAATATAATATTTATTCATTGTATGTTTATCTATATAACATATTTGATATTGGTGTGTATATGTATATATGTATATATATATATGTGTGTGTGTGTGTGTGTGTGTGTGTGTGTGTTTTTTTATTTTTATTTATATATATTTTTAATAATTAGCCATACAACATTATTGTGTTAAATTGACACCCCTTAAATATATATATGACCCTGGACCAAAAAACAGTCATAAGAATAAATTTTTTAAAATTGAGATTTATACATTATCTGAAAGCTGAATAAATAAGCTTTCCATTGATGTATGGTTTATTAAGATAAGACAATATTTGGCCGTCGAGATACAACTATTTAAAAATCTGGAATCTGAAGGTGCCTCTTGAATTTTGTTGTAATCTGTTATGTGTTAATATTAATAATAATAATAATATAATTTTGTATTAGTTTTATATTTTGTATATTATTATTAATATCACTTTAATATTTAACACATTATTTTTCTATATTTATTTGTAATTAACCATACTAAATTCTATTAAATTGACAACCCTAATCATACTATAATGCACTTGTGTGGTGTGAGCGATTCTTTAGTAATATTTTATATTTTAATCTCTTGTTTAGTTTATTTTACAGATCAGGGTATGTTTAAACAGACTCTGTGTGGTCCTGGTATTCCCTACATTATGGGGACCAAATGTCCCCACAAGAATAGTAATACTAGTACATTTTGACCTTGTGGGAACATTTTTAGGTCCCCATGTTGAAACAAACTTATAAATAACACAGAATGATCTTTTTTGAAAATCTAAAATAGCATAAAGTTTTGGTTGAGGGGTAGATTTAGGAGTAGAGTTTGTGTGTGTGTGTGCGCGTGTGTGTATGTGTGTGTTTGGAGGAAATGGTGTGGTGTGAAGTCATGCCTTCTATACTTACAATGCACACTGTTCAGCACCTCGGATAGCAGCACAACATGTGAACATGACTAACAGGTGTGAGAATGACGTCGATAACTCACACGTGAGCACGATGGACTCATTGAGTGCTAGTCCCAGTCCCAGTTCGGGGATTAAGCAGAAGAGGAAAACCCTAATGGCTTTTCCCTTTGTATGACTCCTTACGGACCAAACTTGACTGCCTAACAACCCGTGACCGCCCTGCCTCACCAAAGCCACTGTCCTCATTTGAACTTCCTCCTGACTGTGATGCATAACCCAAAAGCCTTGATCCAGAGACAACTGCACTTCCTTTTGGCTGTCCTTAGCTGTAAACTTCAAACCATTAACACTCTCATTTCCATTACTCACCAAGGCATTTTTTATTAATAAAAAGTACAGTAAAAACTGTAATTTTATAAAATATTATTACAACTTTAAATAACTTAAAATTGAATTTATTCCTGTGATGCAAAGCTGAATTTTCAACAGCCATTACTAAAATCTTCAGTGTCACATGATCCTTGTACTGCTTAATCATTTTCTGAAAACCACAATATATTTTTTAATGTTTCTTTGACTAGAATGTTCAAAAGAAAAACATTTATTTGAAATAGAAATAATTTGTAACATCATAAATGTCTTGACTGTCACTTTTGATCAGTTAAATGCATCTTTGCTGAATAAAAATATACTTTCCTTTTTTAAAACAATGAAATAAATGCTTATTTTCATTTTTTAAATCTACTATGCATTGCTACATTATCAATTAATAAAAAAATAAATGTATGTAAAAATGTATAGTAAAATTATTATATAATGTTCAGAATTATTTTGTCATCTTGTACAATATTGTTTCTGTAGGAAAAAATATTTTATTTAAATTTTATCTGGAAACGAGAATAAAAACTAAGAAAATGGCTTGAACCATTTGTAGTGATATTAGGGCCACTATATACAATATGTATTTTTTTTATACAGAGAGAAGAACATTTACTGGGCATGATGGGTACAGTGTGAACAGATGTGTATTGATGCATCTCCATACTAACTATAGTTCTGTAAGGACCACTATCGTCAAAATGATTGACACTTTGCATACAGGTTGGATTGGCAATTCTGTTCTGGGTAAAAATTGCCCGCTCATCCATGCAGCCTGTCATGAATGAGCAGGGAGAGCAGTAATAACCACCAAACATAGGCTGACACCCCCCAACCACAAACTGATGGCAAATCTGAAAGGAGAAGCATGTCCTTCTGAAAGAGCAGAGGCTGGGGCAGCATGGCCCTTACAGGAGGAGAGTAGCAGCAAAGGGGTGCTCTTCTTTAACAAGCAGCTGAGAAGCGGGCCCCTTTAATGCAGTACCTGAAAAGATTAAGTAACAAGAATATGGTCAATACCCGAAAATTAAGCAACAAGCATGTTGCCCTTACCCAGATGACGTTGTTAGCATTTGAATAACAACCTTTAGTAGCAAAATGTACATACGGTGCACTAGATAGCTTTAAGAAACAAGCATGTTGCTGACTTAAACGCAGCGTGTTGCAATAATAGTTGAATAAGCTTAAAGAAACAACATTTCCAATACTAGATGTGTCTTAAGCAGCAAGCATGTTTCAAAAATCAGAGAGCCTTAAACAACAGCTTTAAAAACAATCCTCTGCTGTGGCAAGTTTAACTGGGTACCAGCATGTCGAAATAAAACCAATAAGCCTAAAGCATCAAGCATGTTACTGAACAACTAGCCTTAAACAACGAGCAATAATTGCCAATAACCTGATAGCTTTAAGCAATGAGAATAAAAAGAAACTTAGCTTAGCTTCGTGAAGACATTCAGAGATGAATAAAGGGTGAAATATAGCCAGCTGTGACGTGGATGCTTGATCCCATTCTTGATATCTTACTCCTTCCAGCGAGGAAGGCAGATCTTGTGTAAACTCTTGCTGATTCAGACACATTTGCACAACTTCAGTAATGATTTGTGGGCAAAGGGTCCATGTCAATTATAAATCGCTGCGAGAAGCAGTGCTCACTCAGGTCACTTCCAATCTTGCAGCTCATATCAATCAATGCAGCGAATTCACGTTCAAGTTCACGAACTTGAATCTGGTGGGGAATGAACCCCTCTTGCAATATTCCTGATTGTACGCTTCCTATAGAGACGGAATTCGCCAACTAATTTCCTCCTGAGCAAGCTATAAAGCTGCTGAATATTACTGAATAGACCTTATATAGGAATGCCATGATAGCCGTCGTATTCCTATAGGTAGACGTGGATCAGCTGAGAGTCAGCTGATGCAAGCTTGACTCACGCGACCTGCCAGAACTAACACTACGCTTGATTTGTGTCATCTTATTTGGACCCACTGTAAGAAAGGTCTCAGGTGTCTTCCTCCCTCCTTCAGCAGTCTTTTTCTATTTCTCCTCTTAAACAAAGATGTCATTGAAGATCAGAAGTGAAATCGCTGCTCCATTAGTTCACCAGTCTGTGGGCTACTCAGAATGTCTCACTTTGCCCCTCCAGAGACATGAGCTGTAAACTCGAATATCTTCTGTTCTACAGCAGGATTATGCCAAACAAAAGCCTGTTGTCTCCAGCGCTGGACTGCATCACCCTGTGTCCACAGCTGGCCTGTTCCTATTCTGGCCTGGACTGCCACCCCTGGGCTATGAATCCAGTCTGGTCCAGGTTTCTCTAGCCATCTTACTTTCTATCATGTTCCATGGCTGGACTTGTAGTCCAAATATCCAGTCCAGCATGACTGTTTTTGATTATCTGAGCAGAAGTTTACTGATCTGTTACTGTTTGGCCCACCCAGTCAGACAGAATATGGTGTCCATATTTATGGTAACATTTAACCACCCAGAACACAAATTAATTTATTTCTTTAAAAGAGATCTTCTGCCCTTGGCGTCTACTTTAATAATAGGATGTAAAAATTACAACAAAACAGTAATATTATGAAATATTATTACAAACATTTTTTTTTTCATTATAATACATTTTAAAATGTGATGTATTTGCATGATGCAAAACTGAATTTTCAGCAGCCATTACTTCAGTCATCAATATCTTAATGACTTTATGGCTTTTGTAATGGTAGTTTTTGTAATATATAAATTTGGAATGGTAGTGTGTGTGTGTGTGTGTGTATATATATATATA